TACAACAGCTTTTGACTCACGGTCAAGCGATTTTTACTCGTTATTCTTCAATAATCCTGTCGATCAACCCTGTATTATATCAATAAAGCAGTAAATTTTACTCTGTGTCCTCACAACGTATATTCGACGTCTTCACAAGGTAAGCCTTTAATTAAAGTTCTGCTTGATCCTAACTCAAGGCTAAACCTTCTAAATCTAAACGAATCGATAAAAAGAAAGAATTTTTTCACAACAGAAAGTACCAATTAGAAGCTTTGAATTCTACAAGTGCTTTTTGTTATAACATAAATGCAATCGGCGCAAAAGTCACTCCATTACAGTTGCTTTATGCTAATGATCTCCAAAACGTCTTTTCGATGATTTTCAAATTCTTATACTATTGGGATATTAGCGCCGATAGCTATAGCTACTCATCTATCACACTCACTTAAACTTTAAATTTTAACCTTCAGCAATCTCTTGAAATCATTACTACCATCATTATAATTATAGCTGTTATCGTTATCACTATCATCTTTGTTATCAATCGCTAACGCTTCATGTTATATTTTGTTTTTAAACGCAGAATGGCAATGGTCGTTTCGTAATCAGAATATTTGCGGATGTTTTTTTGAAAGTATATCTGTGAATACTGTTCACTTACGATACAGATATCGTTAACCACCTGTGAATTGTTTAACATTTGGACAATCAATGTTTGTGTCATTTGACCTCCCACGAATAACTTGGAATAGTTTTCAATAGAACACTTGATTAAGTTCAAAACAGATTTACTTTTTATTCCGATGAATTTGATTAAAATTTAAATCATTTCAAATCATATTCCATTGCGTTTGATCTATTCTCAATTTCATTGAAGCTTCACAATTTTTTATCACATTTTTGCGCAAATGAAACCGAAATGTCGATCCACTGAGAATTAAGCTGCTAAAATGGTTTCCAGTAGAAGTGGAAAAATGATGGAAAAAAAACCATACCGGCAAATACTTTGTTTGGTTTTTTTTTCCCTCTCTTCGTCGTCACTCATTACTTACTAATAATACCAAGACTCCTTTTTTTTCTTTTTGAGTTATTATTTAATGAAACAATATCTTGTTGCATTTTCTACATCATAGATGAGATTACAAATTTTGAGATTCCTTTCGAACTCAACATTTCCGCCATTCCCAACATTTCACATGATTTCTACCATTTCGGTGATTTTTGATTGCGCCTTGTGCAAATTTTTTATTTTGTTTTTATTTTTCCACAAGCAAAAACAATCAAACAAAGGCGATAAATTCACTTTACAACAATCTTTACGGATAATCTTTTTATGAATTAACATTTTCCGACCAATACTTTTCTTCGTTGTAATACTGTTACAATGCAAAATTTCAAATTGTTTAAAACTAAAATTTATTAAATTAAAATTGCAAAAAAAAAATGGAGGGAAATGAATCATAGTTTCTATTAATATTAGTGAGATGTTTAAAAATTTCATAAGGTTAACTTTTAAAAGCGCTAAATTCTTTATCACTTTTGTGCTCCTCTATCTCTTCCAACTTAAACTTCCACTTCTAAGCTCATTTAAAAATTCCTTTCCAATTATTACAACATTCTTTGAATCAATTTGCAATAATTTTCCCCTTATAACATTAGGAAATTTTTGGCAAACATTTCAATTTTCCACGTATTTGTTTTTGCTTATCCCACATATCGCGAATATTTCGTCGTACTTTACTGTTCATTGCGATATAGAGAAATGCTTTACCACCTGATAAAGCAAATTTATGTATTTCTCCTTGCACACTACTATTAGTGTTACTGTTGCATGTATATAGCGCATGCAGAATGCTTATTGCATGTCGTACATGTCAACTACATATTATGATCAGTTTTTGCAACAAAAAAAAAAAGATATGCAAAATTTTAAGCGATAAATAATGTTTTTTTTTGTTGTGAAATTATCATAATTAAAAAAAAATCGCAAAAAAGAAATCAGTTATCAAATTATTATTAAAGAGATCGCAATTATAAAATTATCATATTTCTAAGGAATTGTTATGTTCCTACGCAGTTGTTATGACTAATTTAAGGCATAAATATTTCAGTATTTCAGCATTTTTTTTCTTCTACGATTAAATTAACGATCGATAAGTTGCTAATATGCAAATTAAATTAAAATGAAAAGAGGTAGAAGAAGAGGATACCTTGCGAAAACATCCATGAAATATGAGCGAAAGGTAAAAGAGCTGACGGTAAATGGATAAATCCGATGATTATGTATAATGAGCTACAAGTAACCAAGAAAAAACAGATAATAACTGATTGTATTAATACCTTAAAAAAAGAAAAAAATCGGAAATCAAACTGAAAGTGGCCATATGAAATTAAACAGCACCTTTGTCATAATTATAAGATTTATCATGAAATACATGCTTCCTTCTTAACCTGCTAATGAATTAACAGAAAAAAATTCAGATGTGCTCAATTATTCTTTTTTCCAAGTTTTAATCCCTAACAAATCAAAGTTATAAATTAATTGAATTATCACTTAAAAAAAATGTTTGAGATGTCTACTTATCTGTTTACTACTTCGAGTCACAGATCTTCCATTCATTCTTATCATTTATTCATGTTCGAGTCTTTCAAATTACTTAATTAACTTTAAATGCTAAAGCCTTATTGATATAAATTTACATAAAATTCAAATAATATATTATCCAGCGATTTTTTTCGAACTTTTAGACTAAATTTAAAATTTGGAATAATTAAAGATACAGATAATTGTGGTTCTGATATATTCGATCGATCAGATACAGAGCACAATCGACGATGAAGAATTACTGCCATAAATACATATTGCGCCACAATGATGACAACAACGGAAGTATTATTGAACAAATGAACCAAACCTTGCACCTAACAATATCATTAAATTAATAGAAGGGAACTGTTTCCAATATTTAAATGATAGAAAATTATCGTAGTCTTGATGAATTATGTTCAGTTCATAAATATTAATAATGATAATAATAGTAGTAGAAGTAGCAGTAGTAGTAACAGTAATAGTAGTAGTAGCAATAGTGGCAAATAACTTCAACTAGCTTTGATTAGCTTTTAATATGTATTCTTTTTGAAATTTCAAAATTTAACCTTAATAAAACAGGAAAGAGATTAGAAAGAAGAAGTACCGTTGTTATTTCAGAGTCCATTTTATTAAGCCAAACGCCCAGATCACTGTGATAAAATCCTGGTGGAGAAATTGCATACATAATGAAAGCATATGAAAATGCTAAACAAATCCAAAGCCATAATCTTACTTTCGTGAAGCATGTCTAAATATGTAAAGATATCATGAAATGACAGAGATGAATTTAAATTTTTTTGAATTTTTTCAAATTAAATTTTTTTTAAATGTTAGAGTTGAGTTTCAAAATTTTCCTTTTTTTGGAATTTCTCATGAAAGCTATACTTAAATACTTACCACTGTTCTTCTGTAGTACAAATTAGAGCATCTGTTGAAATTAAGAAGTATACATAGTGAACAATGTGAAAACCAACACGCTGAAGAGAAAAAGACCACCCATCGATATTTTATTTTTTAGTTTTATTAAAGTTAAATTTTTGAATTTTAAAAAGAATACATGCTAGACTATTCAAACTGTTCAATTGTCCTTTCCGGTAAACTGAAAAAACTTGGCTCATGTTATTGAACAGTCTACAACTTAGTTTAGCTTAACGAACAGCCTGGAACTAACTTAGTTATGTTAGTCATAACTTAGTCATAACTTAGTTATGTTTTCCATTATACTTACTTAAAGAAAGGAAATTAGAGAATGTTGACAAAATGGACTATGGTTAACGAACAGCCTGGAACTTGGTCATGGAACTTTGGTCATACTGAACGGTTCGATGCTTGACCTACGCGAATTTTTCGATTTGATATTTATAGCATTTCTTTCTATCTGGTACAATTGCTTTTACCTTCTCCTTCCATATCTTTTACTTTTTATTCTGTCCATCAAAGTTTGTTTCAAATTTTTTTAGAAAATGGAATGTTTTCCATTATACTTACTTAGAGAAAGGAAATTAGAGAATGTTGACAAAATGGATGTCGTACAATACGAGATTCCAATAACAGAATAGAGCCCAGTAATTGTCAAATCATTACTTGTTGTAATCATATCAACGATACCAATTACAATCATTAGCTTGAAACATGAATGATAACGACAATCACGTTGTAGGAATGTTATAAAACATGGTAAATAAGCAATCTAAAATTATTAAAATATATTGAATATAATCAAAACATTTTTGTTTGATACATTGATCGTATCAATTAGCTTCATTCTTATCACAAAATAGTTCAAATGTAAAATTAACATCACATCAACACAAAGTATCTATCTATACATTCTGATAATGTATCATAGGTTTGTTGAATCAGTCATAAAATTGTCATCCTACGAGAATTCTTGCAAAAAATCAAAATATTCAATATAATGTATTTCATTACCGCAGCGCAAATGATCAATGAAGCACACTTCATTACCGCAGCGCAAATGATCAATGAAGCACACTTCATTACCGCAGCGCAAATGATCAATGAAGCACACTT